CAGCCGGGGTCCCCGGGGTGCCCCGGACGGTGGTGGCACCACACGCTCCCAACCGGGGTCCCTGGTGCCACTATGTCCCCTGAGTGGTGCTGGCACCGCGCGCTCCCAACCGGGGTGCCCGGGGTGCCCCGGGCAGTGGTGGCACCGCGCGCTCCCGCCCGGGGTGCCCGGGGTGCCCCGGGCAGTGGTGGCACCGCGCGCTCCCGCCCGGGGTGCCCGGGGTGCCCCGGGCAGTGGTGGCACCGCGCGCTCCCGCCCGGGGTGCCCGGGGTGCCCCGGGCAGTGGTGGCACCGCGCGCTCCCGCCCGGGGTGCCCGGGGTGCCCCGGGCAGTGGTGGCACCGCGCGCTCCCGCCCGGGGTGCCCGGGGTGCCCCGGGCAGTGGTGGCACCGCGCGCTCCCGCCCGGGGTGCCCGGGGTGCCCCGGGCAGTGGTGGCACCGCGCGCTCCCGCCCGGGGTGCCCGGGGTGCCCCGGGCAGTGGTGGCACCGCGCGCTCCCGCCCGGGGTGCCCGGGGTGCCCCGGGCAGTGGTGGCACCGCGCGCTCCCGCCCGGGGTGCCCGGGGTGCCCCGGGCAGTGGTGGCACCGCGCGCTCCCGCCCGGGGTGCCCGGGGTGCCCCGGGCAGTGGTGGCACCGCGCGCTCCCGCCCGGGGTGCCCGGGGTGCCCCGGGCAGTGGTGGCACCGCGCGCTCCCGCCCGGGGTGCCCGGGGTGCCCCGGGCAGTGGTGGCACCGCGCGCTCCCGCCCGGGGTGCCCGGGGTGCCCCGGGCAGTGGTGGCACCGCGCGCTCCCGCCCGGGGTGCCCGGGGTGCCCCGGGCAGTGGTGGCACCGCGCGCTCCCGCCCGGGGTGCCCGGGGTGCCCCGGGCAGTGGTGGCACCGCGCGCTCCCGCCCGGGGTGCCCGGGGTGCCCCGGGCAGTGGTGGCACCGCGCGCTCCCGCCCGGGGTGCCCGGGGTGCCCCGGGCAGTGGTGGCACCGCGCGCTCCCGCCCGGGGTGCCCGGGGTGCCCCGGGCAGTGGTGGCACCGCGCGCTCCCGCCCGGGGTGCCCGGGGTGCCCCGGGCAGTGGTGGCACCGCGCGCTCCCGCCCGGGGTGCCCGGGGTGCCCCGGGCAGTGGTGGCACCGCGCGCTCCCGCCCGGGGTGCCCGGGGTGCCCCGGGCAGTGGTGGCACCGCGCGCTCCCGCCCGGGGTGCCCGGGGTGCCCCGGGCAGTGGTGGCACCGCGCGCTCCCGCCCGGGGTGCCCGGGGTGCCCCGGGCAGTGGTGGCACCGCGCGCTCCCGCCCGGGGTGCCCGGGGTGCCCCGGGCAGTGGTGGCACCGCGCGCTCCCGCCCGGGGTGCCCGGGGTGCCCCGGGCAGTGGTGGCACCGCGCGCTCCCGCCCGGGGTGCCCGGGGTGCCCCGGGCAGTGGTGGCACCGCGCGCTCCCGCCCGGGGTGCCCGGGGTGCCCCG